TGGCGCTGGTCTTTGGTTTGTGCTCTTGCCAGTGAAGACAGAGGCAAAAAAAGCATTGAGTACTTCGGCCTTCTCCATATCCTGGGAAACCAGCTCCCCCGTTCCCTTCCGCAGAGGGCCCACATTTTCCCTGATCCTCCCTTTATCCCCTGTGTACCTATAGATGCCTTTCTTGTTGCCCTCCTTGCACCCTCATTTCAGTGCTCTGGATGGGGATTTTTATTCTGGGTCTGTAGAGCAGCAAACCCAAACGGGACTAAGAAACCTGAAGCAAGACTCTTCAGTGTCCCAGTTTGCAAATGGTTATCATCACATACCTGAATGCTTATATCCAGAGTATCCGTATGTTGGTTTGTGTGGTGGGGGGTGGGGGAACAGGAGCCACAGGGATGGCTCCTGTGAGAAGCTGCTAGAAGCTCCCCCAGACTCCAAGTCAGAGCCACCTCCGGTCATGGCTGAGCCAACTGGTACCTCTGCCGTGCCCTGCGGCCATGGAGGGTCCCGGGGGAGCAGAGACCCACCTGCAGCCCAGGGAGGACCCCACACCAGCGCTGGGGGATGCCTAAGAGCCCGTGACTCTGTGATAAGCCTGCGCTGGAGCAGGCTGCTCTGAAGGACTGCACCCCATGGGAGGGACCCACGCCGGAGCAGTTCCTGAAGAACTGCAGCCCGTGGGAAGGACTCGTGTTGGAGAAGCTCATGGAGGACTATTTGCCATGGGAGTAAACCCACTCTGGAGCAGGGGCAGAGTGTGAGGATCTGCCCCTAAAGAGGAAGGAGGATTTCCTTGACGCATATTTATTATTTTACTCCTATGGTATTTTCTAACACTGACCTTCCTGTGTCTCCCAGATCTGCCAAGGACAGAGAACCACAGAGGTCAGAGCAGCCCCTTAATTAGCATCAACCCTGAGTTTATGTACCGTAACAACACTGACCACTATTTCCAATATGACCTGCAACCTCTGTGAAGACACCAACGTTTCACTGGCTTTTGCTTCAAGTTCATTTGCTGGGTAGAAAAAAAAGTTACAAAGGAACAGACATATTTTCAAAATTAAAAGATTTCAGAGACCAAACCTGATGCAGTCTAACTCCCATCAGCTGTAAAGCTCATGACTTTCTGGTTATGCTGGATCTGGCATCATTCATGTATCAAATCTTCGCACAGAGACACACCCATGAATAGGAAGGGGGCAAGGGAGTTTGTTATCTATGACCTGGCACATATCAGTGTAGGGATCAAAGAGGACAACAACCGGGAGGGCACTGTTCCCCTTCCTCTGTCCAAGGAGATAAATTCGTCCGTTCACAGTGCTGCATCCCATGAAGAACTTCCGGGTCAAGCATTCCTCTTCCACCGGGGTCCATTCATCTGTCTCCACATCAAACCGAAAAGCTCCCCCTCCTATGGTGTACAGAGCACCATTCAGTGATGTGATGCAGAGGTCATACCTGGGAGGGAAGGAACCCTTGATCATAATCAACAGAAAGCTCTGACCCTTGAAATATTCAGGGTGACCTTGGTCCTCCTATCAAGAGTCCTGTTTAAACAGAGAATTACAGAAGTGTTGGTGGGACAACACTTCTGGATTTCTCCAGTCCAACCTCTTCTTGGAGGTTTTCTTTTCTTCTCCTGCAAGGTCCCAAATTATTTCTTACCTTGGAAGCGGGGAGAACGAAATGACATCCCAGCTGTCCGTCTCTGTGTTCAGCCTTTGCACCCCATCATAGACATGCCCATTCTCATCCAGGCCACAGACCACATAGATCCTGGTTCCCACACTGACTGCATCTCCTCTCTCCACAGGTTGAGCCATGGGACTCATGCTTTCCCACTCTGACTCCATCAAGGCCATGCGTTCCACTGCTGGGATTATCCCCTCATCTGTGCACCCTCCAAGTACATACAGGTAGAGCCCTGCTCCTACTGCACAATGGCTGTTGCGAGACTTCTTCATGGCAGGCCCTTCCAGCCAGCTATTGTCCAAGCAATTGTAGACAAGCACCCAATCCACACTGTACCACACAAACTCATCCCGGAAATATCCTCCTGTCACAAAAAGGAAGCTCCCTGGAAAGACAGCAAAGTATCAGTTACATGAAGGCTGAAAACTGTCCCTGGGGAACTACGGTGCTCATTTCTCCCGGGGTTGTACCTAGGAGGTGCAAGATGGGCAGAGAAAATTACGGCTCTTTCTATCAGTTTGCAGTATCTGATTCCTCATCTGCACAGATACGCTGGGCCTACAGGATGCAGTAAGTCCTTCCAAGTCTGCTCCTAGCTAAAATCATGGAAAATCATAGAATCGTTTGGGTTGGAAAAGACCTTTAAGATCATCAAGTCCAACCATTAACCTGGCACTGCCAAGTCCATCACTAAACCACATCCCTAAGCACCACATCTACAGGGCTTTTGGATACCTCCAGGGATGGTGACGCAATCACTGCACTGGGCAGCCTGTTCTAATGCCTGACAACACTTTTGGTGAAGAAATTTTTCCAAATACCCAAACTAAACCTCTCCTGGCACAATGTGAGGCTGGAGGCTGTTTCCTCTTTTCCTGTGACTTGTCGCTTTGGACAGAACACTGACACCCACCTCTCTGCACCTTCCTTTCAGGTAGTTGTAGACAGCGATAAGGTCTCCCCTGAGAAGCCTTGGACAGAATCATGGAAACACTAGTTGGAAAGAACCTCTGGGGATCTCATGTCCAAAATCCCACTTGCAATGGGATTATCACCAACACTAAATAAGGGAATCCACAGTATTGAGCTGTCTTGAAAGTATCCAAGCATGAGGATTTCACAACACCCATGGGGCAGTTTAACTTAACAGCAACTGTAAATCAGAAGCCACCATCTGTCAAAACTACCATGAAAGAGAAGGCCAAACCAATATGCTGCTTCAAGGGAAGTCATTACACTCACTCCAGATATAATTAATGTAAGGAGTTCAATAGTTTCTGCTATACAAGAAGAAATTCAGCCTTAACAGTCTCCCAGGACTAAGGAAAACTAAACACAAATATAGAATCATAGAATGGTTTGGGTTGGAAGGGACCTTAAGGATCATCCAGTCCCACCCCTGCCATGGGCAGGGACACCTTCCACTAGACCAGGTTGCTCCAAGCCTCAACCAGCCAGGCCTTGGACACTTCCAGGGATGGGGCATCCTCAGCTTCTCTGGGCAACCTGTCCCAGTGCCTCCCCACCCTCTCGGGGAAGAACTTCCTGATATCCGATCTAAATCTAAAATATCAATGAGGTTTTAGCAACAACGAAGTTTTAAAGGAGAAGCAGCTGAACTCTGCATTTGGGTCTCAAAGCCTCAACTTCTGTTCCCATTTGCTCAGTCCCACTTCTCTGTAAGTTACCTACTGCTGCCACTGCATACTGGGTGAGGTTCCTGCGCTGCAGTGGAGAACAAGCCTGCCAGGTCCCTGTTTTAGGTTGAAAGAGAAATAATTCTTGCTGTTCCTTGTCATGCTTTCCTCCCAGGACATACAAGGTGTCATAGCTCCGACCAGCAGGATACAGTTCCATCTTTTGCCAGCTGGGTGGAGGACAGCTGTCTAACTTCTTTACTAGTCTGGAAAAGGTATCCATCTCTCCAGCGCGCTTGCTGCGTTTCACCAAGATATCGAGGAAGGACAAACTCAGAAAACTGACCCTGACTTCGCCCACCAAATCCAGAAAGTCTTCCTCTCTCGTTGCTGGGTCCTCCATTATCCACCTCATAATACTGTCAAAAACCACATCTTCTCGTGAAATGAAGAGGTCATCGCTTTTTAGGAGCTGCATCAGCATTTCTTTGGGTAGTGCCTTAAATTCTTCCTGGCACATCACATCCCCCCAGTGAGTGAGAGCCACATTCATAGCAGACGCATACAGGTCTATAAAGGCAAATTGCTGCGAGTAGGTCATCAGGCCCAGACAGTTGGAAACATGCAGCTCTCTCTCCAGAAATTTCACACACAACAGTTTCACCCTGTCAAACTGAAAGAAATCTGCTGTTTCCAGTAAGCTGGTCACATTTTCTTGACCTATAAGCACTTGGGCTGTGTGAGTGAACTCAAGTAGTGCCTGAAAATGCACTGCATCGATCCCTCTGATCACTATGTGGTGTTCGGAGCTCTCTCTTGCCCCCCCAAAAAACATGGCTTCAAAATAACGACTGTGTACTGAAAGTACCCTGCGGCTGACCTGAAAGAGTCTCTCTCCAACCTCAAGAACTGTGTCTGCAATCATTTCTGTCCGAGGTCCCAGTTCCTCTGGTTCTCGTGCAGGCTCCATGCTTGCTGACTCCCAGGCAGTTAAAATTAACTCAGCCCTTATGCAGCCTTTAATCATGTGAGGTCTCTGGAAACATTATCCCCCTAGGTAGGATAAATACAAGATAAATCACTCTTGTCCTATAAATAGAATGTTTTCTACCCTCCTGCTTTGCTCTTCAGTCTTCGCTGCTGCTTTCAGAGCAGCAATAGCAGGAGAGCTGTATAACAGAACAACTCTGCAGACTTAATAACTGGTATCTCCCTCAGCCAGGTAAGACCACAGCAGGGAACTGTTAGCCAAGCAAGGAGCCTGGTCTACAAGGAGGAAAGCGAAACAACCAAAACCTTCCTAATCCTTAGCTAAATGCCAAAAAGTTGTACAATATTGAACCCATTTGGAAAAAAAAATAGGCATTACAATAGTTTTCACTTCTGCAAATCAAAAACACAGGGAAGCTTGAGACTTCTTGGGAAAAAAACACTGATTTCTCCAAAGCCGCATCCTTCATTGGTTCAAGTTTAGTATCAAATTCCAGTTTGCTTACAGTATTTGGTATCTATTTATTTTATACTTTAGTAAGATGTGGGGGAGAAGGAATGAGCCCCCATTCAAACCCAAATGGCTGTCACATATTTGATCATCCCCAATCCCAATGCACTAGTCATAGTACAAGCAACAACTCACTGATTCCACACAGCGAATTTTTCCAAATAGGTCAGAACAAGCTATTAAGGGGAGAGATTTGCATAGTGACCTTGAACTAGCAGCCCTTACCCCAAAGAGCCCATCCCAGCAGGACTCAGTCCAATTTCTCAGCGGATTTCAGCAAGCAGAGTAGTGTTACCTGGATCAAGAGCATTGTTCTTCCCCCTGGAGGAGGTTTCCTCCTGCATCTCTGGAAGAGGTTTCTGCAAAAGTGCTGTTACAAACGGTTTTCTAGTCACATTTAGGAATTAATCCAATAGAAAAGCATATACATATTTAGAATTAGGCTATCATTTTCATATTCTTATTTTCAGGTACTTGACTCCCAAACGTAACCCAAAAGTCAGCACTGCAGAAGAGGACAGCCGTGTACCTTGCAGTGAAGGCTAAGCAATCTTTTACCTGAGCAGGAAGTGCTGGAAACATGTTCCCCTCCAGAGCTTATGCACCTGACACATGACTTCAGGCAGGTATTTCTGTACCCTCTGCACCTAGAGCCTGGAATCCACTACAGGGAGCTTCAACAGGCCTGTTTCTGACGCTACACTCCGAACACGGGAGCGCGCAGACGGTGCGGCATGTTGCTGGTATCAACCACCAGCAATCTCGCTCCCACCTAAGACAGTTCAAGACTCATTCAGGCTGATGGCAAGCAAATTCTCCTCCAAACACTATAAATAAAAAGTCTCTCTTGAATCATGCAATTACATGAAGAACAAGTTTTGTAGTGTTAGAGAAAATTATGCTGGAAAGTCCATGAGCCTACAGGCTGCTCTGTGAAGTGCTCAAAGAATGAACCCTTCAGAGATTAAAATCCAGCACTCAAGTTTACACAGGCAATGTGCCACACAAGACAACTGGTCCCTAGTTTCATAGCCTCCTGGAAAAGTCAGATACACCAAACTGGAGTTCTTTTACTCCAAGTTTCCATCCATTTCACAGCTGACCCTGGAAAGGCTATGAATGGGAATACAGTGCTGATGCCAAAACGAACAGCTAATACGACTTGTCCTTGGCATGTTTTCCTGACAACCTCTAGGAACACAGGTGCTGCTGCCACCAAAACAATTCACTTTGCCACCGGCTCCTGACAAAGGGTGCTGCAGGTGGCAGAAGCAGGGTCCATACAGCCTACAGGCACATATCCTCCACTAAACAGCCTTTAAAATGCCTAACAAACACATGAGTCCTCAAAAAAGGGGCCAGATGCTCTCAGTCATTTCTCACTGATTAACTGTCTTAGAAGGGAACAAGGCTTCTGATCTGGTCCCTCCCAATTTTGCTGGGTTTACACTCCTCCTGAACAAATTTCCTTTCAATTTACAACTGTGGAGCACTTTTTCAGAGTAAAAACCAGACATTCAGGAACAGATGTATTCGTATTTATTCACTCAGAACTCCTCAAATCTTGCTATTTCTGTGGTATAAAAAGAAATCAGAATCATTTACAAATGAAGTTATAACAAGCAGAACCACAAGTGAACAGCTGCAATATAAAAATATGCAGTATTGCCACACACTGCCTATAATTGAACATTAGGGTCTTAAATATTCTTCCCCTAAGATTCAAGTATCAAATAGATACTTCTGTAAGGTTCTTGTCACTCAGCCAAGAATCATCCTAGGAGTTAGTCCAGTCCTTCTGTAGGAATGCGAGAGCCTTCTGATACACAGATCACAGCCCACAACATCTGGGCCAAGTGCTAGAGAGTATCTTCTTAGCTACATGGCTGGTACAGCTGATGACAAGGTACTACAGAAGGAAAGTACTTTCTCTGCCTGCACTGGAGCAAGCAGGCAGGAGAGACTGAACTCAGCAGCAGGAAGACTACAACACAATACTTCCCATTCAAGCACTGACATCTAACACAAAGAAAAACATGTTCTAATGTATTTATGCTTTAGATAAATTTAGATTATCATACATTAAAAAAGTATTTGAAAATGTAAATAATATAATCAATGTTCAGAGCATTCTTTAATTTTATGTGGTTGTTTCAAAACTCACAAGGTCAAGAGGTTCTCAGACAATTCCATGACAGTATATTCCTTCTGTCAGCTCTGAACAAGGTAGTTACATGTTTATTTGTAGGGGAGAAAATCAGAACGTAGTTCTTCCACACCATGCCCCATCCTCTCACCATTTATGGAAAGCCACAAAAATAAAAGTTGACTTTTCTTTCACACTAACAAATACACATTCAAACTCCTCCCCCAAAACAGGAAGCTTCTCACACACCAATAGTTTTCACTGATGATTTGCACCCTTGAAGTCTTCAGAGACAATCCAAAGAAAGCATTAACCATCTTGCTGCTGAATGAAAGGATTTGGAATAGCTTCCATTCCATCCTGTGGACAAATAAGAACCACAGAAGTCCCTCTGCAGACCACAAGTCCCAGCTGACGTGTGTCTTCTGTTAATTTGTACTGATCATCTGGATCTGAAAAGCAGAGATATACATGGTAAGACAAAGAAACCAAATTCCATCAGCCTCAAAAGGCACAGATATGGGTTTCTTCCAGGGGTCTCTGCATTGTTTTATTGAACATGTGGACTATAAAAGTGATGCAGCAGTAACACATGAGGTGTTCAAGACATTACAGATTTATTGATTTTCAAAGTAGCACGTGCCACAGTAAGCAATGAAGAACTTCCATTTGTATGCAAAGCAGAACACATCTCTTCTAAAGAATTCAAAGGCCATTTCATTCATCTAACCAAAAGCATACATAAAAGTGATTAAAAGAGCTCCTGATCCCATTTCTAATGCTATTATAGACATTTTTAGGATCAATGCAAGTCAGAAAGAGACCCTGACTTCAGAATGCACTAGTCCAGACCCAGCCAAGCAAGACCATGGGTGGGGACAGATAATCATTTAACACAATAGCCAATTCTACACTCCTTGAGATGCCGATATATTGGATAAAAATGCACTACATTCATCTTCTGAAACTCCCTTCTAAAAGCAAAATTAAAGCTTCAGGTGCTTCCTTGCAAGCAGGCAAGAAAATACCCTTCAAAAACACTGTCCTATGATAGATTTTCTTTCAGAGATGAGAAAGAGAAATGGGAATATTTATCCTTGGATGAGAAAACAAAACAAATAACAATAAAAAAACCCACACTCTACATCTCTATTAGCTATAATAAGCTACAGAAGGCACATTCCACAGAAATGCAAAGGCTGCATTCACAGCAGAGTTTAAGACAGTAAGATACTAGTTCTTGCAGAGAGGTTTTTCCTGCTTTGAGCAAAGTGGCAACCCTCCAGCAGCATAAACAAAGGCAGCTGCCTTACCTGAAGAGAGACACTACTTTATTCAAGCTCTAGAGGACAAGAGTGCCAAATGAGTTATAGAGGAGCGCCAGCAAGGACTATCAAGACTTTCTATCACAGGGAATGCACTTAATCTACTTCTGTTGCCCCTTTCTTTACAATTTAGTTATCACAAACATGAATCAGTTTGAATGATGTCAACCTGCACTTTGTGCTTATTCACTCACAGCCATAATATTTCTCTTAAGAAAATTATTTGGGAGGGCTGGGGGGGTGGAGAAAAGCTTTACACAGATAGCATGTTACTCACCTCGCATATATTCAATGGTACCATCGAGCACGAGGTTTAAAAGGGGGTCAAATCCTTTCAAGACACCACTTGCTATTGAAGACCACAAACAAAGCAATGATTAGAAACCAGAACCAGACATACAGCAACACATGACTGCATGAAGGGCACATTCAGTTCTCCAGCTCTGTTCCCACCTTCAGGCAAAGCCATGAAGCAAACGAGACCAGAGCTATTAAACAGTGCCCTCCTTATCAAAGCGCAAATGTACGAGAACCCGTTGGTGCTGCACTGAGATGTACAGGTTTTTCAACCAATTCTTCAAAATGCTCAAGACACACTGAACAAACGATTTTGTTGTCAGCCAATTTCAGGGGTACTGTAAGAATACTTCAGCATAACAAATCAATATAAGTCACACCGCCAAAAATAAAACAAATCACAAAGTGAAATAAATACCCTTAGAGAAGGAGTAAAGCAAAAAATGAAGGAAGACATGTTTTGAAATGTCTTCCTCAGAAAACCCATCTTTGGGGTCCCCTCCTGGAACATAAGGTCTTTAGTAAAAGCATCACCTTCACAGGAATGCACTGCAGACAGATAAGCACTTTGTCCTAAACCAGAAAATAATTCATAGAGTCACAAAACAGTTTGGGTTGGAAGGGACCTTAAAGCCCATCCAGTTCCAACCCCCCTGCCATGGGCAGGGACACCTTCCACTAGACCAGGTTGCTCCAAGCCTCATCCAGCCTGGCCTTGGACACTTCCAGGGCTGGGGCATCCACAGCTGCTCTGGGCAACCTGTCCCAGTGCTCCCCACCCTCTCCGGGAGGACCTTATTTCTTATATCTGATCTAAACCTCCCCCCTTTCAATTTAAATCTGTTCCCCCTTGTCCTGTCACTACAGGCCCTTGTAAAAAGTCCCCCCCAGCTTCCTTGTAGCCCCTTCAGGTACTGGAAGGGGCTATAAGGTCTCCCCAGATCCTTCTCTTCTCCAGGCTGTACAAGCCCAACTCTCTCAGCCTGCCCTCATGGCAGAGGGGCTCCAGCCCTCGGAGCATCTTCATGGCCCTCCCATGGACTCGTTCCAACCGGTTCAATTCTGATCACAAGACTACACAGAATGATCTACTAGTTTGAAGAATACTTGTTGATTACCAGCATTACTATCGTTGCTAACAGCCTGAATCAAAGAAGCCACTCTTACAATCCCAGGTGTTATATGAAGATCATAAAGGAAATTGGCTTAGATTTTCTTCTCAAAAATTCATGCCAATAGTCAATGGAATTTCCAGCTGCCCAGAAAAACCCACCCCAAACCCACACTTATCAGTAAGGTGTCCAAGTAACTTCCAAAACCTCATAAACATCAAGTACCAGTGAAGTTCTGAGAGACTGTTTTAAAAGCAAACCGAGTTTGCTTTGCAAGAGCTTCTGCTGAGCATCGCTCACACCGCATGCTCTTAACTTTCAGACGAGCACGTGGTGTGCCCGTGGCACTATCGGCTGCGTCGGGACTGATAGCCGCAGATATGGTACGCAAGTGAGGCGGCGGGTGGGGGGAACCAATGATCCAAGAGCCTCAAAAGTGATGAAAAGACATGGTGGAATACACTGAAACAATCTATGACCTCCAGACAGATTTAGTATGATTCATACACCCATCACTATTTGACATAACACCCACAAATGTTTCTTTACTGCTTTAAGTACACCCTTACAATGGGAAAAACCAGCCCAAAGAAGCAAGACCGTTGAAGTCAACTAATAAAAGAAGATGAATGGAAGGATTAATGGAAGTTAAAGATAAGCGTCACAGCGGTAACAGCAAACAGCAACCAGTAAAGCACGTGCTGCTCGTCGTCTTTCCTTGAAAGCAAGCAGCGTGAGCACACAGAAGACAAAAGCCGAGAGGCACAGAGCAAGGAAACGTGACAAACCGCAACTCTCACGCTGCAGAGGGAGATGCCTCATCCCCCGCCCAGCGCCGAGCTCACCTTCTCTCCCCCCTTGGAACTTCACTCGGATTGTTTTGTCAATGTACTTGGAAAGATCCAAAATACTCTCCTTCTTCTTCTTCTCCTTATCCTAAAGGAGCGGAACAACGGCAATTGGAATTACAAAGAACCCTCCCCTGGTACGTACATACTCCATAACGCTTCTTTTCACGGAAACCGCCCCAGGGCGGAGCCCGCGCGAAGGAAGAGCGCGAGGCGGGCGGGCCCGGCCGCAGCCCAGC